CGGGGTCAGCCTCGTGGCAGACAGGCGCCCATCCCTGTGGCGGCCCCGGCGCGTGTGGGAGGCCTGGTGCAGGCAGGCAGGGAGCTGGCTGCTTTCTGAAGCAGGGCCTGGTAGTCAGGGTCTTCACCTGTCTAGGTGGTGGCTGTGCTGCAGGCTTGGAGTTGGGTGGGAGCCGCGAGGAGGAACAGGTCAGGCAGCCGGGTGGGCCTGGGGGAGCCACGGGGTTGGCGACGTGGCCTTGTAGGCCTGTGATAAGTGGGCAGAGGGAGCAGGATGCCAGGCAGTGACCCCAGGGCTCATCCTTCTGAGCGAGTGAGAGGCGCGGGAGTGTGTCCACCTGGCACCCTGGTCCTGAAAGAAACTGGGACCTGGGGCCAGGCCCGGCTGAGTTTGGACCAGTAAGGCCTCCCCTGTGGGAGGCTGGGCTGGGCCTAGGCCGCACCCCTGCTGAGCCTGTCCAGGAGGCCTTGCATCTTCCCCCGTCCCCACCCCTTCCTGAGCGCCGTCTGTTGAGGGAAGCGGCTGGGGCTCTGTCTGGCCATACCCCTTGTTCTCGACTGCCGGGCTGGGTATCCCTTGACCTCGGGGCCTCAGGGTGGGGAATGTGTCCCCGAGGTGGCAGAGGCAGGGTAGGCGTGGGGGGGCAGTTGGGATGCGCCCAGCCCCTCACCCCCACGGCGGTGCGGCGGGCAGGTCTGAGCAGGGCCTGCAGCCTGTCATCTGCACTTGGGCTCGAGCCAGCGCGGCTCCAAATCGCTACCTGAGGATGTGTTTTCTGCTCGAGTTGGCAGCAGTGGGTGTGGGGGCAGGGAGGCCTTGAGGAATGTGGCGGCCAGCGCGTTGCTCGTGGCTCTTTGCCCCACCGGCCGCCGGGTGTGGGATGGGCCAAGGCAGGCCCCTGCCTTCCTTGGGGCCGGCTTCCCTCCCTCTTGCTCAAAGCTGATCCCCTCAAATGCCCCAGGAGCCTGCCCTGGGTGGGGCGCTGGGGCCGTGGGGGTACCGTGCGTTTGGGGGGCAGCCCTGGTCTTTCTCTTCTCCTGCTGTGCGGCCTGGCTGCCGGGCATGGACCTGGCGCGGTGATGCTAGCTCCCTGGTATTTCCGCTCTGTCGGTGGTAGCCCCGCGGCCACGCTGCCCTGCTCGCTGCAAGTCCAGCTCCGTCCCATGAGCTGGGGCGCGTTCGGAACCTGCACTTGGCTACGACTGGGGAAAGCGAGGACTTTCTGGTGTCCGGGCTCTCTGGGGGATGAGGGGTGGCTTCAGCTGGCAGGGCGGGGTGCGGTCCTGCCTAGGACCAGCGAAGACTCCCGGCTCCCTGGAGCAGGGGCGTGGGGAGGGCCTTGTGGAAGGGGGATGAGGCGGTCTGGGCGCTGTCCAGACCTCCGCCACCTGCTGACCTGTGCATGCCCCTCCTGCCCCTGGCCTCTGCTGGTAACCCGGGCCACCCTCTGCACCCTGACCTGGTTTCAGGAGGCCGGGGTCTTTGTGCTGTCTGTGACCTGTGGGTCCTGTTGTGTGTTGGTCTCAGGCTCAGCTTCCCCGAGCGGGTGGCCCAGGGTCTTGGACGTAGAGAGGTGGAGGGCCACCTGCCAGCGGGCTGTCCTCCTCTCCTGGCCCCGCCCCAGATGCCCCCGAGGAGGTTGGTGTCACCCTGGCTTGGCCCTGGTGCCCGGCTTGCAGCTGGCTGGACAGAGGCTGCGTTCGCCCGTGTGCGTGTGTGAGCGCCAGTGCTCTGTGGGTGTAGCGGGGGGCCCTTGGCCGGGGAAGCAGGGAGCTTTCCTCCCGGGCCTGGTGGGTAGTGGGCTCAGGGGGCCCCTGCTGGCTGGGGGAGCAGCAGGGTGGACAGCAGTTGGCTGCGACTATGGCCCTCGAAGGGCCTGGCCTAGCTGGTCCAGCTCCTGGCGTCCAGGAGCCGGGGCGCCCAGCCGCGGGCCTTGGGGGTACACACGCTGCCGGCTCCGGAGGGAGCTGTGCACGGAGCACGGCCCCCACACGGATCTGGGCTTGTGGGGAGAGGAGGGGGGGGCCCTGCAGGGGTAGAGGTGGCCTGGAGTGGACCCTGTGTCTCACAGCTCAGGACATCTGAGGTCCAGGGCCACCGGAAGGTTCTAGGGCCTGGCTTTCCTCACCTGTGAGTTGGGGAGGTGGCGCCTTTTTACAGGGCCTCATGAGGCTGGAGAGGGCTGCAGGGCTCCGAGCTCAGGCTCCTCCGATGCCCCAGCCTGGCTCCTGGGCCCACCCAGTCCCTTCCCTCCCCTCCCCTCCCCTGTGGCCGTCCAGCATGTAGGCAGGAGAGTGGGGGTCAGGGCAGGGCTGCCCCCGCAAGGGGGAGCGGGAAGCCAGCCGGGCTCTGCGGCCCGTCAGGGCTGTGAGTGCCAGTGGGGGTGTCTGGCGGGGTGTGGACACAGCTATCCAGCTGTCGAGGGGCCTTGGCCAGGGTCCGTGCCTGGGGTCACCTGAGTTGCCCTTGGCAGGTGTGAGATGCATGGCCCTTCTGCTTCCTCCTGAGCTTGGGCTGGGGCCGGTGTGGCCCTGGCCTCCTCCCCACACCTCCCCTTACCCTAGAGCCTCCCCTCTGCACACTGGGGCCCACTGCTCTGTCCTGCCCGCACCTTCCCAGTAGGACCCAAGGTCCTGTCTGGGGGGCTCAGGGCAGGCTCTGCTCTGCTCCGTGCCGGCCGTCTGCCTTACACGCCAGGAGCCTTGCTCTTGTCTTTGGCGTGGGGGCTTTTGCTGTCTAGTGGAGTGGCTCCCAGGAGGCGGGGAGGGCTGCCCTTGACCAGTGGAGGACTGGGGGGGCGGGGGAGCGAGGCGGTGGCATGCCAGGGTTTGCAGCAGGGGCTGGAGGGGATTGTGGCTCTTGGGGGCCCGCTCAGGCAGCTCAGGCCTGAGCAGGGTCCCTGTCCCCAGACCTCAGGCCTGGGCGGGGTCCCCGTCCTTGGAATGCAGGCCTGAGTGGGGTCCCTGTCCCCAAACCCCAGGCCTGAGCAGGGTCCCTGTCCCTAGAATGCAGGTCTGAGCGGGGTCCCTGACCCCAAACCCCAGGCCTGAGCAGGGTCCCTGTCCCTAGAATGCGGGTCTGAGTGTGGTCCCTGTCCCCAAACCCCAGGCCTGAGCGGGGTCCCTGACCCCAAACCCCAGGCCCGAATGGGGTCCCCATTCTTGGAATGCAGGCCCGAGCGGGGTCCCCGACCGCAGGCCTGGGCGGAACGTGACTGGAACCAGCTGTACCTGGCTGTGCTGCGGTGATCCCAGCTCAGTGTGAGGAGATGCTTAGAGACCCTCGGCCCCCACCCTGTTCACCGTTGGGCCCTGCCTGGAGGGGCCGGGTGGGGTGCACCCAGGCAGGGCCCCGGCTGGTCTCTGGTGTGGAGCTGCGTCTGGGTTCCGTGTGGTTGGTTGGGCCTGTGGTCTGCTCCTGCTGTGGCCCTGGGGCCTGAAGGCCTGTTGGGGGGATCGTCCCCCTCCCCCTCTCCCTCGGGTGACAATGGCGGCAGAGGCCTGGGCCTCTCAGAAGCTCAGGTTTCAGGAAACGTATCTGTGCTTAGAGCTCCTGGCGCCGGTACCAAGCGCTGTGCTCCGTGGGGGGCGGGTGGCTGCAGGATGCTGAGGGCAGAAACCAGGCTGGAGCCTTGGCCCCGGGCAGCAGGCTCGGGGCGGTGCTGGCCTGGGCTGTGGGGCACCCTGGGCCTGTGGTGCCCAGGACAGGGGGTTCACTTGACCCAGGGTGCTCTGGCCGTGGGGTGTCTGGGATGTGGCGTGCCCTGAGCGTGGGGTGCCCGGGGCCGAGAGGCGGCACGTGTGGTCCCTTGTCTGCCTTTTCCGCATCGCAGACCTGCTACTTGTCTCCTGTCTGGGCTGGGAGGAGGGAACAGCTCCTCTCCCTGCTTGCCAGGGAGCCTCGCGGGGGGTGCGTCTCTGACCTGCCCCAGCCCCGTCCCTAGAAGGGCACGACACCCTCGCCCGCCAGCCCAGGCCCCGTTGTCCTTGCTGTTCTGCAGGGTGGGGGTTGACAGAGCCCGGTCCCAGACCACGGCCCACCAGGCAGGAAGGACAGGGATGAGAGCGTGCTGTTCACAGAGCAGGAAACTGAGTCCTGGGGGCCGGCCTGGGCAGGAGGGCCAGGAACTGGGGGGGCCCGCTGGTGGGGCGAGGCGCGCAGGTGCCGTCCGCGGCCAGCTCAGGTTCTCCCTGGATGACTTCCTGCCGTCCAGGTGTAGGGACCCCAGCTGGCGGGCGGGCGGGCACTCGCTTGTCCCCGTGGGAGCAGGTAACCAGAGCCCTAGGCTCAGGCGAAGGTGGCGGTAATCCTACCTGAGCGGCTGCCGTGGGGTTTCCTGGGAGCCAGGAGGAGCTCCCTGTGCACCCCAGAGGCCGTGCCTGGGCTGTCCTCTGCCTGCCCCAGCCGGTGGGCTTGCTCCGACATGGGGGTCTCAGGCCAGCCTGGCCTCACCCTCGCACCCCGGCCCACCGCCAGCTCCCCGCTCCTGCCGGTTCCCGTCCACTGCTGAAGCCCCGGTGGTTCCAGACCTTACGCAGACCCCAGCAACCCGCGTCTTGCTGGCATCAGTGAAGAAGTATGTCAGGGTCTGGCCCTGCGCGGTGTCACCCCACTCTGTCCCACGTGCCGTGCGTGCCCGGCGTGGCCCCGTTCCTTCTGCTTGGAACGCTCACTTTGTGGTCTCGGTCACCCTCCGAGGCCTGCCCTGGCGCCTCCGCCCCACCGCTTCCCCTGAGCCACCAGCGCGCAGGTTGTCCCCCGCAGCAGAGCCGTGCCTGCCTGCCGCACACGCTACGCGTGAGCGAGCAAACAGGTGAAGCCGGGGTGGGAGCCAGGGCAGGACTCGGCCGGGAGGGGGTGGGCGTGCTGGGCGGGAGGAGGGCGGGAGCCTCGGGGTGTCTGTGGCGGGTGTGGGGAACCGAGTTCAGGGAAGACTTAGAGCTGGGACGAGGGCCTGGCCTCAGCCCGTCTGGCCAGGGAGGGTTCTAGACGGGGTCGGGATGGCTCCCGCATCCCGCCTGTGCGCCAAGGTGGAGGTGAGGTCCTGTGGCCGTCCCCCGGGTGTCTGGGAGGCAGGTGCCCAAGGGAGTGTCTCCAGCGTAGGCCTGGCTGTGAGCAAAGCCACAGGTGGGCAGGGTGGGCAGGTGTCGTGGGCCTGAGGTGTCCGTGCTGGAGGACAGCTGCAGGCCCGGCTGCGGGACCAGGAGAGGGTGAGTGTTGGGTGTGGCAGGCAGCAGGTTGGGTGGCGGAGGGGCTGGGAGGCGGGGCGCAGTCTGCTGAGAGGTGCTGGGAGGGCCAGGGCCTGGCCTGGGCTGGGCGAATGAGGCTGGGGATGGCCTAGGGTGGGGACCTGAGGCCTCAGTGGGGACATGAGCTTGTCCCCAGCACAGCCAGGCCCGGGGGCCGGATGACCGGCTGCTCAGACCCTCTCCAGGGCTGTTGTCTTCTCGGGCAGGCAGCCAGCAGGCCTGGCACTCAGACCCACCCGCAGGCCCCACCGGGTGGAGTGGGGCTGGGTGCGGGAGCGGTCGGTGTGCTCTCGGTGGCTGTGAGGGTCCCTGGGCAGTGAGCTGCTGAACGGCCGTGGCTGCAGGGGTGCCCGGTGCTGCGCAGCGAAGGGAGAGGCGTGGTCCCTGGTGTGTGCCGGGGGTCCCTCCCGTCCGAACGTGTGCTCTCACTGACAGGCTCCGTGGGCTGCCCCAGGCTGGGTCGGGTTGGCTCCTTGCAGGGCTGGCCCCACAGTTGCTCGGCGGCAGCCGACAGCCTCACCCCGTCGCCCCGTCGCAGTGGCTGGGGCGCGAGAGCAGATGGTCCTGGAGGAGAGGGGAAAGGCAGCCATGGGCTGAGACGGTGCCGGGCAGCCCCCAGGGCTTCTGGGGCCTCAGTTTCCCCATCTGTGCAGCAGGGCCTTTCCTGCTCCTTCTGTTCTGGGGCGGAGGTGGGTGTGTGGGGTTCGCCTGTTTACCGTGCGCCTGCTGTGTACGGGGCAGCACCTGTGCCCGCCTCCTGGGGCCTCTTGGTCGGCGCTGTACCCGGCACTCCACGCACCCGGTGGGGGCACACCTGGCGGGGCGACAGGGCATCGTCCCTCTTGGGTGGGCTGGTAGCAGGACCCACGTTCCCACTGTGGGTCACACCCCAGTGAGGCACCGAGGGGTGTTCCCACTCAAAACTTGTCTGGGGCCACCCACTGGACCCCTGTCCGTGGCCGCTGCAGCCTCTGCCCACTTCTCTGCCCGAGTCACTTCGCTTCACGCTGTGCTGACGTGAGCCGGCTCGGGGCAGGCTGGGCGTGGGCCCCAGGGAGTCCCTGAGCGGAGCGCCCAAGCTCCCCAGCCTGCGTGGCGGGGGGCAGCCCTCTCTCTCCAGCTGGGTCGTCTTGGGGTCTGCGGAGGAGATGTGGCCCGAGGATGGGGAAGGGTGCTACAGGGGCGCCCTGCTTGGGAGGAGAAGCCACGCCTGGCAGACCTGGGGGCGGAGGGGAGCGCTGGACCCTGCCCCCTCCCAGCGCAGTGGCGGGCAGGTGGGGGCCTCAGGCACCTGACCAGCCCCTCCCGTGTCTGCAGCGCTCCTTCACCCTCATCGTGGAGGCCTGGGACTGGGACAACGACACCACCCCAAATGGTGAGTGAGCCCCAGGCCACACGGTCCCCCAAGAGCACTGGGAGGCTGGCTCCCCTCGGCCTCGGATCGTGTATAGCCAGGGTCTTGGTTCTTTGTCTGCGGAGGACCAAGTTTTCCTTTATCCCAAGGATCTTGTGTACTGTTTCCCTTTTTGCTCTGGTTGCCAGGAAGCTCTGCCCTGTTTATGATTTGCAGAGCTACATGTACAGTGTCTGCCTCTCTAGTCCTGGCTTCATCCATGTTTTCCTCCTGTTGGGCATGTTCTTTGGGGGACCCGTATGAGTGACATAGTGGAGTGGGGTAGCCTCGAGGGACTCTCTGGCTTCACGGCCTCCTCTGCCTGCCTGTCCTGGAACGGGGTCTGGCGGCTGGCTGTGGCGGTGTGGAGGGCCTGTGTGGTGAGGTAGAGAGAGTTCTCACGGAGGAAAGAGGGGCAGCCTGTGCAAAGGCCCGAGGCGGCAGTGAGCTTGCCGTGCATAGGGCGGGGATGTGGCTCCCCCCACCCCGGAGCTGGAGGCTCAGGCCGCCAGGTGGCCGGTTGACCGTAGGGCCGGGAGGGGACCAGTGGAAAGCAGCTGTGTGAACCCCGGGGACAGTCGGGGTGACTCAGACCAGGGCAGCCTGCAGGGCTTGGGGAGCTCTGGGTGCTCTCAGTGGTGGAGGCACAGGGGTGGCTGATGGGCGTGTGAGAGAGCAGGTCAGGGGCCCCGGTGGCCGCAGGACGGCCACTCACAGGGTGGGGATGACGGCGGGAGGGGCCGGGCTGGGAGCAGCCGTGGGGAAGGCCGGGCAGCTCAGAGCAAGGGTGTCCCTGGGAGGAGGGTGGCCGTGGGACAGGCAGCCGAGTGCCTTGTGAGGCCATCGGGGCCCTGCTAGGACGGGGGCAGCGAGGGGCCAGCCCAGGCCTTTGCCCGATGAGGTGAGAGAAGTGAGGTCTGGAGGGTCGTTAACCTTCTACCGTGGAAAATTCCGAACTTGTACGGAAGTGTAGGGATTGGTGTCATGGCCTGTGTACCCATCGTCACCAGCTGGGGACACCTCCTTGCCCCCAGGGGCTCATGCCTGTAATCCCAGCACTTCGGGAGGCCGAGGTGAGAGGATCGCTTGAGCCCAGGAGTTCCAGACCAGGCTGGGAGACATAGCGAGACCCCACCTGTACAAAAAATAGAAAAATTAGCCGGGCGTGGTGGTGCACACCCGTAGTCCCAGCTACTCGGGAGGCCGAGGCAGGAGGCTGCAGTGAGCTGTGGTGATGTGGCAGAGCAAGACCCCGTCCCAGGAAGGAAAAAGTGAGGCTCAGATGGATGCCGGGGCGCTGAGTCTGTGTCTGTCTCGGGGTCCGAGAGGAGGCAGGTGCAAGTCACAGCGCGGGAGAGCGGGGAGGACAGCCGAGCCTCTCCTGGCTGCGTGGGCTGCAGGGCGTCTGGGTGGGAGCAGGAGCGCGGGGCCTGGTGGCCGGGGCTGGCCCTCTGGGCCCCGGGCTTCCTGGGCCCGGCCGGTGTCCCTGCTGTCCTGGCTCTGGGCCCCCTTGCCCCCGGTGCCTGCGGCCTGTGCTGACTCGCCGCCTCCCCCAGAGGAGCTGCTGATCGAGCGGGTGTCGCACGCGGGCATGATCAACCCCGAGGACCGCTGGAAGAGCCTGCACTTCAGCGGCCACGTGGCGCACCTGGAGCTGCAGATCCGCGTGCGCTGCGACGAGAACTACTACAGCGCCACCTGCAACAAGTTCTGCCGGCCCCGCAACGACTTTTTCGGCCACTACACCTGCGACCAGTACGGCAACAAGGCCTGCATGGACGGCTGGATGGGCAAAGAGTGCAAGGAAGGTGCGGGGGCGCGCGGGGCAGGGCCGCGGGCGACGCGGGTGCCGGGCCGGGGCCGGCTGCAGCGCGCCCTCCCATGCTCTCTGTCCACAGCCGTGTGCAAGCAAGGATGCAACCTGCTCCACGGGGGATGCAGCGTGCCTGGGGAGTGCAGGTGAGCGTCGCCGCCGGCCCGCTTTGCCCCACGTCCCACGGCACTCAGCAGACGGCCGCCAAGCCCTGCTGGAGGTCGGGTGCGCAGGCAGCGTCGGCCCTGCTCTCGTGCGTCTTACAGTCCGCGCAGGGGAGGCGCGTCCTGCGCGTGGGGTGTGTCTGACGGCGGTGGCGCCTTGAGGACAGCGAGGAAGGGATGGGAGGGCGGCTAGACGTGGCGGGTGAGCCGGCGGGAGGCCTGTGGGCCGAGGACAGGATGCGCTGGCCACTGGCGGGTTTGGGGCCGTGCACGGTCGGGAGGAGGCACTGTGGCGGCCACTATGTGGAGAGAGTGACAGGCCGTGAGGTGAAGGCAGATGCAGGGGTGCAGGGTGAGGGGGGGCGGGAAGGGGATGAACCAGCGGGAGGGAGAGAGGCGGGTGAGTCCTCCAGATGCTCTGGGGCGAACCCCAGGTATTTGTGAATGAGTCTGATACAGGGTGAGAGGAAGAGCATGGGGTCAGGAGGGACCTTAAGCCACAGATTGTCATGACAGGTGGGGGGTGGCCTGGGAGGGGCGGGCAGAGTAGAGGGGAGGTGGATGGCACTGGAGGGTGATGTCTGAGAGCAGGGCCGGGGGCCTGCGGCACGCAGGTGGTGTCTAAAGCCCAGTGGCTGCAGGAAGAGGAAGAGGAGGCCCAGGGGTGTCCCAGCCTCCTGCAGGTCAAGGCTGCAGACTGCAGGGAGCTGGCAAAGGCCTGCGAGAGCGTTAGCGGCCGGCGCCGGCGGCTTGACCAGGGCGTTGGGGGGTGGGTTAGGCCGGGGGGTGGGCAGCTCTGCTGCATGGTGGTGCGGAAAGCGGACGGGCCACCGGAGGGGCCGGGGCAGGGTTGGAGCAGGTGAGGGGCTTCCAGCCGGGCAGGGCGCAGGGAGGCCACCCTGGGAGCAGCCGGCTGGGGGTGGTGGGAGCCCACGGCTGGGGGTGGTGGGAGCCCACGGCTGGGGCGGGGCTGCGAGTCGGTGGGGAGACAGCAGGGAGGAGTGAGTGCTGCCCTCCATGCCAGCCTCGGGCCCCATAATCCCAGGATCTTTCTCTGAGGACTGGCTTTGCCTCTATATGCAGTTTCAGGCAAGGACGCTGAGGCACAGAGAGGTTAAGTAACTTCCCTAAGGTCACGCAGCGCCGAGTTTGGAGAGGAGGCGCAGGGTTTGGGAGCTGGGCGCAGGGTTTGGGAGCTGGCTGACTCGGCAGCCAGGCTGGGGATGGGGGGCCACCGCCGTGCTAGCCCCGTGGTTGAGTTGGCCCAGAAGGTGGTGTGAGGGCAGCCCTGGCTGATCTGGGGGCAAGGCGGCGGTGGAGCAGGGCGGGGCTCACCCGCCGGCCACTTGCGCACGCTGGGATTTTACACGCGCCGGGCGGCCCCACGGCAGAGCAGGCAGCACCGCAGGGGCCCCATCCAGGGTGGGCTGGTTTCTTGCAAGGGGCAGCCCGGAAGCCGGTCCCTGCAGCCCTGCCCTCGGTGTGTTTGTGGTGTCAGCGTGCGGGTTCTGGGGACTCGGTACCCGGGTGTGCGCTCCACGCGTCCTCGCCTGGCCCTGTGCGCCGCGTGGCCTCGGCGGCTGCACCGCTGTCCCTGGGTGGCCGGTGGCTGGGCAGCCCGAGTGACCCCACCCAGGCTGGAGGAAGGTGGAGGAGTGTCCCCGCCGGTGTGGGCTGCGCAGGAAAACCAGGGCAGCACAGCAGGCCCGGCCCGGCCGGCGGGGGCAGGGGGTGAGCCCCACCCACGGCTCCGGCCTTGTGGGCGAGGCCCAGCTGTTGCCGACAGCTCAGGGCTCGGGTTTCAGGCAGGACCCCCCCACCGGATGCTGCGGAGATGGCCCTGTCTTCCTGCCACTGCCTCCCCAGGCCCCTGAGCTGCTGGCTGGGGAAGCCGGGAAGGTGGGGGCTGGCGCGTGCTCCGCCCCGGGGCTAGAGCGCACCCTGGGACCTGCCAGGTCCGGGCTCTGAGCCCGGTTGCGGCGCTCTCTGGCGGTGAACCGAGGCACGCCACAGCCCCGCCCTGGGTCCCCTAGTGTCACCTGAGGCAGGATTCTGGGTGGGGATGTGAGCCCCCCCACTCCGTGCGCACTGGGCTGGAGGCGGGGGCCATGTTCTCCTCCTCCGCAGCCTCAGCTTCCCGCTCCCACGCGGCCGAGCTGGGCTGAGGCCGCTGGGCTGACGTCCCTTCGGTGCCGGCTGCGTGGCTCGAGGGCGGCTCAGGAAGGGCCGTGGCTCTTCCCTTCTACAAAAATAAATTCGCGTGTCGGGTGCCGGTGTGGAAGTGACGTGGCCCGGACGTCATTCCCGTCCTGCAGGACCCAAGAGTTCTGGGAAGGGGGCTCTTGGGAGTCCCGTCCAGGGCCTGGAGGGCAGCCCACTGGGCCCTGGGGTGTCTGCCCTGAGGACAGTGCCTTGGGTCAGGCCGGGCCCTGCCCTGCCCTGCCCGCCGGCCCACCCACTTCCTGGAGGACCCCGCAGAGGGGACCTGACCCTCAGCATGGGCAGGGCCAGGCCTCGGGGTCGTGGCCGTGGGGCCAAGAGGCCTCTCGAGGCCGCGCTGCGGGTGCATCCGGAGCTCCTCTGGGTCAGGAAGTGCCTGGAGTCCCGGCCCGAGCAGGGCCGACCCGGGCAGCCTGTGGACCTTGGCACCCCCCGCGTGAGCTGGGCCTTTCTGTGGGGTTCTGCTGAGGGGAGAGGCTCCCGCCTGGCCCTGCGGCACCTGGCTGGTCTGAGCTGGCATTCTCATCTCCGGGGTCCCCGCAGGGCCTGCCTTTTCCCGGCGCCTGCTCTCGGGGCCCAGCTCGGGGTGAGCCCAGAATAGCTCGGGCAGGAGTGACGGGACAGCTGGAGCCGGCCGGCCGCGGCCAGGAGCCGGGAATGCCCGTGATGTGGGGCTGGCCAGGGGCTGTGACCTGGCCTGGCTCTGGGCTGCTCCGCTTCAAAGGCCCGAGGCCGCTGGCCCTGGGGGTGGCCCGCGTGACTCTGTGCCTGCCTCTGGCCACCGCACCAGGCCTCACGCTCCCCCGCCCTCCCCAGGTGCAGCTACGGCTGGCAGGGGAGGTTCTGTGACGAGTGCGTTCCGTACCCTGGCTGCGTGCATGGCAGCTGCGTGGCGCCCTGGCAGTGCAACTGCGAGACCAACTGGGGCGGCCTGCTGTGTGACAAAGGTAGCCGGGGGCCGGACCTCAGCCGCCAGAGGGCGGGGGGTGGGGCAGGGGCGCAGGCCAGTCCCTGAGCACCCGCCCCGCCCCCAGACCTGAACTACTGTGGCAGCCACCAGCCCTGCGCCAACGGGGGCACGTGCACCAACGCCGAGCCCGGCCAGTACCGCTGCGCCTGCCCGGACGGCTACCTGGGCAAGAACTGCGAGCGGGGTACGCGGGGGGGCCGGGCGGGGGCCGAGTCTCCGGCCTCCCTGTGTGGCGGCACCCCTCCCCCAGTCCCGGGGCCTGGTGGGCTGGGGAGGAGCACCTGGCCGCCGCCCACCCCTACTCTGGTTCCGCAGCTGAGCACGCCTGCGCCTCCAACCCATGTGCCAACGGGGGCTCTTGCCACGAGGTGCCGTCCGGCTTTGAGTGTCACTGCCCGTCCGGCTGGAGCGGGCCGACGTGCGCGATCGGTGAGCGCCCTGCCGTGTCTGGGGCTCCAGCCTGGTGTCAGGCGGCCTGGGAGTGGGGCGGGCGGTCCAGTCCCCACACGGCCGTGGACATCGTGGCTGGGGGACGGGGCAGGAAAACCCAGCCACGCGGCGCCACCTCCCTGCGTGGACCACGTGCTCTCCTCTCTGCATCCTCTGCAGACGTCGACGAGTGCGCCTCGAACCCGTGTGCGGCCGGCGGCACCTGTGTGGACCAGGTGGACGGCTTCGAGTGCATCTGCCCCGAGCAGTGGGTGGGGGCCACCTGCCAGCTGGGTAAGGGCCTCCCGGCCGCGCGTGTTGCATGGCTGTGCTGTGCGTGTGGCGGCTGCTGCTGGTGCTATGGGCTGCAGGCGCCAGGCACGGGGCGAGCGGGCAGCGGGGCCTGAGCCCCACGGCACCCCTTGTCTCGTCCACAGACGCCAATGAGTGCGAGGGGCGGCCGTGCCTTAATGCTTTCTCTTGCAAAAACCTGATTGGCGGCTATTACTGTGATTGCATCCCGGGCTGGAAGGGCACCAACTGCCACATCAGTCAGTACGGGCGGGTGGGCCGCAGGGGGCGGGGCTGGGCGAGCTCGGGACCCCACCCCTGACCCCGCTCCTCCGCCCTCAGACGTCAACGACTGCCGTGGGCAGTGCCAGCACGGTGGCACCTGCAAGGTGAGGCGGGGCCCGGCGGGGGGGGGGGCGGGAGCGGCCGCGGCCGTCTGCGTGAGGCTCACCCCCGCCCCCCGCGCCAGGACCTGGTGAACGGCTACCAGTGCGTGTGCCCGCGCGGCTTTGGGGGCCGACACTGTGAGTGGGAGCTAGACGAGTGCGCCAGCAGCCCCTGCCGCGGCGGCAGCCTCTGCGAGGACCTGGCCGACGGCTTCCGCTGCCACTGCCCCAAGGGCTTCTCCGGGCTGCTCTGCGAGGTGAGGCCTGCGCCAGGGCCGCACTGCCCCGCCCTCGCCACCGCGGCCCGAGTGACCAGGAGGCGCTGCGGCAGGGGGTTGTCCCCGGAGTCCCAGGCGCCTGGCTGGGTGGGCCTGGGGGCTCACGGGGTCGTAGGGTCAGGCTCCTGCCGCAAGGAGCCTCCTGGGGGACTGGACCGAACCCCACAGATCGCTGGTTGCTCAGGGCCTCGTCTGTCCACTCCCTTGGGGACGCAGGGCAGGTGGCTGTGATGGGGCGGGGCACACAGGCCTCCTGAAAGAGGGCCGCAGGGCAGGGTGGGGGCGCACCCCTGTCGTGGTGGGTCCCAGCTGGTGCCGCCTGCCGCCCTCCAGCCCTGCCGCCCGGCAGCACCGCCCTGTCCTGTGTGCTGAGGGGGGGCCTCCTGCCCAGCGGGCCCCTTGGGGCCATGACAGGGTTCTGGTGGACGGCTACCAGTGCGTGTGCTGCCATCTTGGTTCTGAGGGTGGACTGGCAGTGTGGGGGCTCAGGAGCTGGCCGTCCTGCCAGCAGGGGGGCCGAGGCTGGGTGCCACCCACCGGAGGCCAAGGAGGCTCAGCTGCTATGAAGGCGAGGGCAGGGGTGGCCTGGTGGCCCACAGGTGTGTCCGTCCGGCAGACAGGACCCTCACGGTCTCGGGTGGGCAGGGGCTTCAGGCCCTGGGTGGTACTGCCCAGCCCGGGGCCGAGGCGTCTGGGTGTCCAGCTGAGCGGGAGCCGGGGCCTTGGGGGTTCCCAGGGACCGGCCTGCGTGTGGACCTGGAGGCCCGGCCCGTGCCTCCGACGGGGCTGGACTCACGGACGCGCCTGCCCCGCAGGTGGACGTGGACTTGTGTCGGCCGAGCCCCTGCCAGAACGGCGCTCAATGCTACAGCCTGGAGGGCGACTACTACTGCGCCTGCCCCGACGACTTCGGCGGCAAGAACTGCTCTGTGCCGCGGGAGCCGTGCCCGGGCGGGGCCTGCAGAGGTGCGGGGGCGCAGCCGGGGTCGGGAGTGGTGGGGGGCGGGGGGGTTCCTGGGCGGGGCGGGCCTGACTCCCGCCACTGCCGCCACAGCGATCGATGGCTGCGGGTCCGAGGCGGGGCCCAGGGTGCCCGGCCTGTCTCCGTCCGGCGTGTGTGGCCCCCACGGGCGCTGCGTCAGTCAGCCCGGGGGCAACTTCTCCTGCGTCTGCGACAGCGGCTTCACCGGCGCGTACTGCCACGAGAGTGAGTGGCTGGGGACGGCGGCGGGCCCGGGCTGGGGCCGGGCTGGCCGGGCGCCCTGGGCTCACCGCCTTCGCCCCACAGACATCGACGACTGCCTGGGCCAGCCCTGCCGCAACGGTGGCACGTGCATCGACGAGGTGGACGCCTTCCGCTGCTTCTGCCCCAGCGGCTGGGAGGGCGAGCTCTGCGACACCAGTGAGTGGGCCGGCGCCCAGCCCGCCGACCCCCGTGCCTCCCCCAGACTCGCGCCTCCAGCCGCCTCCGAGGTGGGCGCTGGCCTGGAGGCTCCCACCTGTGCCTTGGGCCTGGCGGCCGCCACCTGAAACTCCTTCCCCCCCACCTTTCCCTGGCCCCGCTCCGGTGCCTCCTCCCCCGGGAAGCCCTCCCCGAGCGCCGGTGACCCCCCGCTGACCGGCGTCCTCGCCCCCAGATCCCAACGACTGCCTTCCCGATCCCTGCCACAGCCGCGGCCGCTGCTACGACCTGGTCAACGACTTCTACTGCGCGTGTGACGACGGTTGGAAGGGCAAGACCTGCCACTCACGTGAGTGCCCGTGGGCCCTGCCTCGGGGCGCTGCCCGCCAGGACCCTGGCCCTGTGGTCTGGGGCCGGCCCGCTGAGCGACCTGTGTGCCCACAGGCGAGTTCCAGTGTGACGCCTACACCTGCAGCAACGGCGGCACCTGCTACGACAGCGGCGACACCTTCCGCTGCGCCTGCCCCCCTGGCTGGGAGGGCGGCACCTGCGCCATCGGTGGGCAGCCCTGCCCCCGCCCCCTCCTGCCGGGCATGGCCACGGCCCCTACCGCAGCCGCTCCTGGGGCATGCTGGGCAGGGGGCGGGGGCTTCCATGGAGGGCCACGCCTGCGCTCCTGGGCTGTTTGCCCCGTCTGGGCTGGGGTGCGGGGGTGGGGGGGAGACCCAGGTCCACCCAGAGCCAGGTGAGCAGGCCGCCCCTCCCCCTCCCGCCTCACAGCCAAGAACAGCAGCTGCCTGCCCAACCCCTGCTCGAACGGGGGCACCTGCGTGGGCAGCGGGGACTCCTTCTCCTGCATCTGCCGGGACGGCTGGGAGGGCCGCACCTGTACGCACAGTGAGTCCAGGGGCCGTGGGGGTGGGGCAGCATGAGTTAGGCAGGGCTGTGGGGGCCCCCTTCACGCAGCTCCCCAGCCCTGCCCCCGACTGCCTCGTCTACCCAAGTCCATGCCAGGGGAGGGTCCCCTCCTGGCTCTCCCTCCACAGGGCGCGCTTCCCCCCAGTCTCCCAGCTCCCACCCGTGAGCGCCTGCCTGCAGCCGGGTTCCTGCTGAGACAGTCCCCACCCCCAACTACAGGCGCCCCCAGAACCCTCCTCGGTGACCCTGCCCGGGCCCCCGAAACCTCCCCGACCCTCCCCAGCCCCCCAGCCCACCATGCCAGCTGGTGGGGGCCCTGCGGGGTCCCTGCCTTGCAGTCTGGGCTCAGGCCTGGTGCAGGGTGGGCCGGTGGCTGCTGTGCCCACCGCCGCCTTCTCTCTCAAACCCAGACACCAACGACTGCAACCCTCTGCCTTGGTGAGTGCAGGGGCTGGTGGCGCGGGGCTCAGCTGCCACGGGTGGGGCCCGCCGGGCGCCCCTGACAACGCTCTCCCTGCAGCTACAACGGTGGCATCTGTGTCGACGGCGTCAACTGGTTCCGCTGCGAGTGTGCGCCTGGCTTCGCGGGCCCTGACTGCCGCATCAGTGAGTGGCCAGGCAGGCACGTGGGGCCGCGGCCTCAGCCCCGGGGTCAGGAATCTGGGACGTCAATACCCACAGCCCTCGAGTGGCAGCGTGGTCACATCGTCCAGCCTCTGTCTGAGCCTCCACCTTCCCACGTGTCTGCCCTGTCGGGTTGCTGGGGTGCACCCTGCCCCCTGATGAAGTGGGGCCCAGGAGGGCCAGTCTGGGGCCAAGGGAAGAGGAGGATGGGGGCCGCCGGACCGGAGTGTGCAGCCCGACGTGGGCCACGGGGCGGTGCTGGGCCTGCCTTGCGGCTGCTGAGTTGAGACCCTCCCCGCAGACGTCGACGAGTGCCAGTCCTCGCCCTGCGCCTACGGGGCCACGTGTGTGGACGAGATCAACGGCTACCGCTGCAGCTGCCCGCCGGGCAGGGCCGGCCCTCGGTGCCAGGAAGGTGGGCGCGTGTGACTGCTCCGGGCAGGGGTGTGCCTGGCGGGGGTGGCGCCCGCGGACCCTCGAGCCTCGTCTTCCCACAGTGATCGGGTTCGGGAGGTCCTGCTGGTCCCAGGGCGCCCCATTCCCGCACGGGAGCTCGTGGGTGGAGGACTGCAACAGCTGCCGCTGCCTGGATGGCCACCGGGACTGCAGCAAGGTGGGGGCCCCTGCAAGCCGCCCCGCCCGAGTCTGTCATCACGCTGACCCCCGCGCCCGTGGTCCCGGAGCTCACTGTGCTGGAGTCAGGGTGGGCTGGGAGCTGTGTCCACTCACCTCCAAGGGACGTGCTGGGAGGAGGGAGCACAACTGGGCCCCACCCCTCGTGCGACTGGGGAAACCGAGGCTCGGCTTGGGGCCCGCCCAGCCCCTCCTGCTCCTGCGTTGAGTTGGGCCTGCCTCCCTGGAGCCCCGGGCAGCGGGGCAGGCAGGTCCTGGGCCTCGCTGACCCCGGTGGTGCGTCTGTGTCTCCCCCTGTGGTACCGGTCCCTGTCTGTGGTCCTCGCCTGTCCAGGTGTGGTGCGGGTGGAAGCCCTGCCTGCTGGCTGGCCAGCCCGATGCCCTGAGCGCCCAGTGCCCGCTGGGGCAGAGGTGCCGGGAGAAGGCCCCGGGCCAGTGCCTGCATCCGCCCTGCGAGGCCTGGGGGGAGTGTGGCGCCGAGGAGCCCCTGCCGCCCAGCACCCCCTGCCTGCCGCGCTCCAGCCACCTGGACAACAACTGCGCCCGCCTCACGCTGCGCTTCAACCGAGACCAAGTGCCCCAGGTGAGTGGCAGCAGCGGCCAGACGCTGGCCTTTGTTTCCGCGTGGCCTCTGTGGCTGCGGGTCAGCCCTGGGGGCAGGAAGGCCGTGGCTGACCCAGTAGAGCCGCTCTTGGTCGGGGGGAGTGGCCACGTGGGGTCAGGTGAGAGGGAGCCTTGGGCCCCGTGTGTTGGGGGTGCTGGCGGGAGGGCCCCGGCCGGGGTGCCATCTGTGCAGCCGTCCCGGTGCCTTGGCCGGTGGTGCCGTGCCCCTACTCTGGGTCTCGGCCTGCAGCTCTGCGGGCAGTTTTGTGCTGGCCGTGGTCCCACGCCTGTCCTCCGGGTGCCTGGGGCTGATGTGACCCTGTCTGCCCAGGGATGGGGCTCGGAACAAGGTGAAACCTCCCCCGCAGGTGGAGCCACTCTTGCCACGGGACGGGGTGCGGCTGTCATCCTGGGCCCACCTGCCCTGGCTCTGGTCTGCATCCTCGTGTGGGGACAGGCTGGGGGGCCTCGGTGTCTCTGCCCTGTCCCCGGGGTGGGCCTGGAGAGGTTCCTGCCGCCTGGCCACGTGGTGCGGCTCAGGGCCTTGGTGCTGTGTCTCTGCCCAGGGCACCACCGTGGGCGCCATCTGCTCCGGGATCCGCTCCCTGCCAGCCACAAGGTCCGTGGCCCGGGACCGCCTGCTTGTGCTGCTCTGTGACCGTGCGTCCTTGGGGGCCAGCGCCGTGGAGGTGGCCGTGGTGAGTGCGGGTGGAGGTTAGAGTGGCAGCCTGGTGGCCCAGGCCCCGCCCCGCTCAGGCCGCTGGGTGGCTCCACGTGCTGGACCCGCGGAGCTGGCGCAGACCTGGAGACGTCAGCTGGGCCGGAGGGCGGAGCAGAGGGCACCGCAGGCACCTGTGCAGCTCGGCAGGCTGGCCTGGGGGGAGAGGGAGGGTCTCAGGTGAGGGGCCTGAGGGGCCAAAGGGCGAGGGCATCAGGGGCTGCTGGGAAGGGCCGGGGAGTGGCCTGGTGGGTGTCGACGGTCCGTGGGCCGCTGCTCAGGGCTGCTCAGGGACCGGGAGCAGAGGTGCTGTGGGGTCGCCTGCCCCACCCACTGACAGGAGGGAGGGGCCGTGGGGAGCTCGCAGGGGACATTCTCGGTGTCCTGTGCGTCGTGGGGGAGGCTGGGTGGGACTCTGCGGAAGCAGGTCCCGGGTGGAGCCGGCTCAGGCTGTGCACACGCCCGGGGCAGCGGGAAGCAGCTGGCAGGTGCCGACTCCCGGAGGCAGCGTGGACCCCTCAGCCCGTCCCTGTCTAGTGTCTGAGGCTGTGGAGGGTGGGGCTCTGGGCGGGGTACCCGGGCCATGGCAGCCCTGGGTGATAGAGCAGTTGGGAGCAGAGGCAGCTGTCTGGAGGGAGGAAGGGCGGCCGGCCCTGGGTGGGTGGCGACAGGGTGCAGCTGGAGCGTCCCCAAGGGTGGGGGATGTGAGGAGGACCCTGAGGTGGTGGCCGAGGGTGGGTCTGTGGGGCCTTAGCCCCCATCTGCAACCTGGGCTCAGAGCAGTGGGGCTGCGGTCGAGGGGGGAGTGCACGGGCCCCGGGCCTGGCAGCAGCAGGGACAGACCAGGCTGTTGGTGGCAGGACACAGCCCTGTGTGTCCCCAGGGGCAGTAGGTCTGGGTCTTTGGGCTGGTGGCTGTGCTAGGGGCAGCCCAGGGCCTGCTCTGGGCCCCGGGTAGGTGTCAGATGTGAACCCTGGGGGTGGCTGGGGTGTGTAAATTGAGCAGGGAAGGAACCTCTGGAGCATGTTTTGGGGTGGCTGGGGTAAGGACACCGCAGGCGGGGGGTCAGGTGCCGGGGGTGCAGGGCAGTGGATGTGGCTGCAGCACCGAGGCAGGCACAGGGGTGGCACTGAAGCTGTGGCAGGGGCCTGGGGCATTGGTGGCCCTTGGTGGTGGGGCAGCCTCGGGGGAGGGAGAGGCCAGAAGGGCACCAGCAGCGTCACACGCCGTCGCCGGGGTGGCTATGGCACTGGGGGTGGTGTTGGGTGGTCTTGGGCCCAGCCGCACCCACCTGCCCCTGTTCTGACCGGGGTGGGGGGGTGGGGGGGAAGCCCCGGCTCCTCCCGCCGGCCCCAGCAGCGCCCTCTGCCGCAGTCCTTCAGCCCGGCGTGGGACCTGCCGGACAGCAGCCTGATCCAGGACGCGGCCCACGCCATCGTGGCTGCCATCACCCAGCGGGCCAACAGCTCACTGCTCCTGGCCGTCACCGAGGTCAAGGTGGAGACGGTCGTCGTGGGCGGCTCCTCCACGGGTGAGTGGGCGCCGGGGAGCCCCGCTGTGGGACGCTGCAGGCAGGCGTGGTCCCCAGGGTGGCCGCCCAGCCTGGGGCTGTGGATCTGCCGGCCAGCTGGGGAGCAGGGACACCCCCGGCGCCTGCCGCACCCAGCCTTCGTCCTGCCCCGGCCCCCGCCCGGGACCCTCCCAAGCCGGGACCTGAAGGGTGTGGCCGGGTGTGTGGCTGGTGCCCGAGCAGCCCTCGCTGGCCCTGTCCCAGGTCTGCTGGTGCCCGTGCTGTGCGGCACCTTCAGCGTGCTGTGGCTGGCGTGCGTGGTCATCTGCGTGTGGTGGACGCGTAAGCGCAGGAAAGAGCGGGAGAGGAGCCGGCTGCCGCGGGAGGAGAGCGCCAACAACCAGTGGGCCCCGCTCAACCCCATCCGCAACCCCATCGAGAGGCCGGGCGGCCTGGGAGCCGGTGGGGGTCATAAGGACGTGCTCTACCAGTGCAAGAACTTCACACCGCCGCCTCGCGGGGCAGACGAGGCGCTGCCTGGGCCGGCCGGCCACGCGGGCGGCGGGGCGGACGAGGAGGACGAGGATCTGTGCCGCGGCGAGGAGGACTCCCTGGAGGCAGAGAAGTTCCTCCCGCACCGGTTCACCAAAGACCCCGGCCGCTCGCCAGGGAGGCCAGCGCGCTGGGCCTCGGGCCCCAAAGTGGACAACCGCGCAGTCAGGAGCGTCCACGACGCGCGCTACGCCAGCAAGGAGTAGGGCAGCCGTGTCCACCGCTGGGCGCCGCGCCACCTGCCGGACCTGGAGGCTGAGGCCGTGTGCATAGTTTCTTTATTTTGTGTAAAAAACACCAAAAACAAAAAAAATGTTTATTTTCTACAGTTCTTTAACCTTGTATAAATTATTCAATAACTGTCCGGCGGAAAACGATGGGAGTATTCTCGGATAGTCGCTATTTTTGTAAAGTTTCCGTGCGTGGCACTTGCCGTGTGGCGGGAAAGAGCAAGGGTGTCGTGTTCTCACCAAATGTGTAACGTTTGTTACCAGAGGTCGTGCACTGTTTACAGAATCTTCCTTTTTATTCCTCACTTGGGTTTCTCTATGGCTCCGGGCCACAGAGCTGGTGAGACCCGTGGCTGACAGCGTGGCCTGAGGCTGTCCGTGGGACCCGTGGCTGTAGGTGGGACCTATGGTGGTCGGTGCGGCCCTGGGTATGGACGTGGCGTGGTCGCCGGCGTGGCCCATGGCTGTGGCGGCAGCTGCGGTTGTCAGGGGGCTCGAGGCCACTGGCGTGGCCCGAGGCCGGCGGGCAGACCCTCGCTCTCGCCAGCCGGTGCCGTCCAGCCGCCGTCCTCGCTTCCTGCCCAGAGCGCCCGCTCCAGAGATCTGTCCACTGTGCTTTCAGAAGTGCCCTTCCCGACCGCGCGGTTCTCCCTCCCGGGACGGCGGCAGCGTAGAAGCTCGTGACAAGTGCCTTCACAGACTCTCCCCCGCAACCGTCAGCGTCCGCCGTGGGCGCCAGGCGCTGCCCACCTGCGGGTCCCGGCCACTCTCCGCGCGAAAGTGCATTTCTGTAAATATATGTACATATTAAATGAATCACTCTGTATATTTGATTTAATAACTTAAACGTTTGGCCTCCCTTGTTCTTTGGGTGCTGTTCCTTTCTTACTTGGAGCAGGGTCGGGGCAGCGCGGTGCAGAGGGGGGCGCGTGCAGGGCGTTGGGCGTCAGGGGAGGGGTCCTGCTGAGCCAGGGCCTCGCAGGTGGCCGGGGTGTCCCGGGGGTGGAAGGGCTGGCTGGAATCCTTCCTGGGCATAGGCAGGCAAGGGGAGCGCCAGGCCCCTGCTTCAGAACAGCTAGAAGAGGCTTTATAAAATAAACTTTAAGTTCATAGCCATGACGGGCCATCAAGGTTTTAAGGAATTACCAGGTCAGAATTCGAGGGAATGGAAACGGGAGGCAGAGCTCCTGCATCTCACTGCCTGGGCAAGCTGGACCTCAGTGTGGGGGCCTCAGGGCTGGGCATTGCGCCCCCACCCCCGGCCCCGTGAGGGGCAGCGGGCCACTGAGTAGAGGAGCCAAATCTGTAGGAAAAGGAAGGAGAAAGCCCCTCTGGGAGTGAAGTTGGTTTGTGAGCTTTGCTGGGTAAACCGACCTGCTGGTCGCTGCAGAGTTCGTCCCTTAGCCGTCTCCGCCGCGGCTCTGGGAGGCAGGTGCAGCTCAGGGTCGCTCCAGCTCCTGCCGCGTCCTCCCGGCAGCGCCTCCGTGCTGAGGCCAAAGGCTGTGTCCTCAGGCGGGGGCAGGGGGCTTAAGCCTCCTCCTGCCTTGTGCCTAGGAGGTTGGCCGGTCAGTTCAGGGGCAAGCCTGCCCCTGAGGAGTGTTGGGGTACACAGTGACTCATGTCGACATGGAGCCCACGTTCCCACCACCAGGTTGGCCACAAAGACCCCAGCCTTCGAGTTTCCTTTTAGATGGTGTTTATCTACCTTGGGATCCCCTAGGTGCCTGGCAGAAACAAATGCAAATCGCCTTTCTCCTAGACCTCCGTATGCCCCAGGAATGATTTTTCAAGGCCAGTGAGCAGACCGCTGTCCAATGAAACAAGCACACAGGGAAACCTGGCACCATGAGCAAGAGCCGTGAGAAACACGAGCAGAGGCGTCAGATACGCACACTGGGATTCCTAGACATGGGTTATGAGAGAAGTTGCCGTGCTCAAAGGGGATGGGCTTGGAAGTGCTGATAGTTCAATCAGAAACTCCACAGTTGCCCAGCAGACTCGAAAAAGCACAAAGCAGAACTGCTAGAAATGAGAAACTACAAACCCCGAACCGAAAACTCAAGGAGCAATTTAGCAGCCGCTCTTAGACACTGCTGAAGGGAGAATCGGTGAACTAGAAGATTGAGTCAGAGGAAATGATTCCAGGCTGCAGCCCTGAGAGGTAAAAGATGGAAAGTGGCATTGGGAGCCGGACGAGGGGCCCTTGGCAGGACCTTGCGGGGCTGCCCTGAGGCTCGGGGAGCCCGTCAGGCTTGGGGTGAGCAGAGTGGGCAGGTGGGGCGGGGGGGGCCGGGCTGCCCCCAGCCCTTCTGCAGGAGTGCCCCGCGGGCCTGCACCTGCTTGGCCATGCCAGTGCGCCCCCAGATTCTGGGAAGTCCCTGTACGCTCGCGGGGGCTGGACTGGCTTGGGGACTCGGGGGCTCACAGGACATGGCCTGGCCTCTGTGCCGGCTCACCTGACCTCTGAGCGTGCATGGGCACAGCTGGGGCCTCCACGGTCACCTGCACGTGTGTACACGCGTGTGCAGGCCTGCCCCTCCCTCCAAGCATGCTGTCCCACGTCCCAGCTCTTGGCCTTACCGCATTCAGGCCTGGCCTGGTCAGGTGACCTCGTGCTTGGCAGGGGTGGGGACAGCGCTGTCCACGTGCCTGACCATGGCCAGCTCCCGTTGATGGCCACACAAAAGAGGTCCAGGCACCGGCATGTTCCACGCCCGACTGTCACCCCAGGGGATGGCGGGGCTTGTCTCCGTCTCTGGTGCCGCCGCCCGCTCTGGTGTGGTTGTGACGACTCGCGGGGACTGGCGCCCAGGCCCTGCGGCAGCCTGACACCTCCGCACCCCCAGAGCGCGCACACCCGCCTGGGCTTAGTCCTGTCCCGCTGGGCCGCAGCCCCGGGGCTGCCCCGCCCCGGACAAAGCCTGTTGCCTTCTGGCGGGGTGGGCAGGGGCTGCTCGGTCCCGCTGAGGGACAGTGCGCTCACTGGCACGCTGGACACTGAGGTCGGTGCTGGGCTCCCGGCTGTAGGGACAGGCGGCGGCCCCAAGACCGACTGCTGAGCCTGGCCCCGGCTGGCCGGCTGAGTCCCCACCACGGGGACACCCGGACCACCTCTGTGGCCACCCAGGAGCCGCCACGTCCTGCAACGGCACGAAGCTCTGAGGCCTCCCCTCGGCGCTTCTCCCCTGCTGCCTCCGCGTCTGCCCCTTCTCTCGTTCCTCCTGGGTGACAAGTCCGGGGCTCTGGCCCGTGGGCTGGTGGGGGGAACTCCACGGTCCCTGGGGCACGTGTCACCAGAGCAGGTGCCTGGCCTCCCCCGAGTCTGGTGGGCGGTGGGTTTGGGGACACAACGCTCAGGCCTGGAGCCGGCCAGGGTGCTCCCGGCCTTTGCATGTGCCCCTGGCTGGGGCGGGGGAGGCCGAGTGGGCCTAGCAGGGTCTGTGTCCCCCGTGTGCCTGGGACCCAAACGCTGTGCAGTGGAGGGAAGGGGGGTCAGGGAAGCCATGGGGGGCTTCAGACGCGCACTGGGCCCAGTGCGCAGAGATGCGGGCGCAGCAGCCCAGGTGGCTCAGCAAGGGTCGCCTTGAGGGGCCCAGCTGGTGCTGGCCGCCGGCTCGGGCTTGGTGCAGAGGGAACTTTGGGGCGGTCCCGAGACACCAGGTGGGTGCTTGGCTGCGGCTCCCTGGAGGGGCGCGAAGGCTGAGGCAGCCCTGGGTGGCGGTGCTCGCTCCGCGGCAGGAGACACAGACGGCCCTGCCTCTGTCCCTGCCGCCATGAATGACCTGGACACCGCCCCCAGGTGCGCACACACCCACCTGCTCTGCGCCGGGCCGGGCCGCCCTCCCTCCCTTTCCTCAGCCCAGCGTGGTCAGAGAAGGCAGCGACAGCCGGACCCGCCCGCCTGGAGCAAGGGGCGCGTCCTGACCGACCAGTCTGACCCAGCCCGGGACCCCGTCCCCGCAGACGGCTGCTGTGGTGGCAGCGGCTCAGATGCCGCGAAGCCGCCTCTCGCACCGGCCCGGCTCCCGGCCACCTGGATGCTTCCTTGGCACTCGGCCCCGGGGACCACGCCAGCGGGTTCTGCTTGGTGACAGCTCTGGCTGCTGTCTCCGGAGAAACCGGGCCCCGGGGAGCAGAGGAGATGCCGCACAGGAGCCCGGTCCCCAGGATGACCTCACGGTGTCTGCAGGCCCGACTCCAGCTGTCCCGAGACCAGCTGGGCTCACCCCTCATCAGACCTAGGACTCGCAGGTCGGGAGGGACCCGTGGGGGTCTCACAGTGGGGGCATCTGGGTGCCAGGGGCTTGGAAGGGACCTGCCCTATGACATTCTTCGTGGCCTCCCCGGCCCTACAGGATTGGGGACCCTCGCCACAGAGGTGGCCACAGAGGGGGCTAGGACCCAGGTCTTGGGAGATGACTCTGAGGGGTGGCGATCTCAGAGAAGGGTGGCGGGTGGGAGGCCAGAGCCCAGGGAGCCCCGCTGGTGACCCGACGGCCGGCAGCACAGAGAGGGGCAGAGACGCGGCCCCAGGAAGCTCGCTCCGGACTGGCAGGTGTGGCTCCTGGGGTCACCGGTTCAGGTGTGATAGTTTTATCCCGGTGCTGATCCGGAAGAGAAGCATTTGCTTTGGCATTTCCTGGGAGGAAGCAGCCCAGATGGGGAGGTCACTTTGAGAAGTGTCAGGGAGGCCGTGGAGAGGACCCTGGGTTGCTGTTCTGGTGGAACGGCCCCAGGCCACCTGCTCGTCAGAGGCTCTTAGGTGGCCCAAGGGGGCCCAAACCAGGAAGCGGGCAAGGACCAATGCTCATGCAGTTCTGACAGGCAGGAGACGGGCCCAAGCAGGGCCCAGACCATGGGGGGACATCCACTCAGGGGGAGGGACCTCTCCTTGGGCAGGGCTGGACGGTGGGTGGGTCCTGCAGAGACGGCCCCCATCCCCCCAGGGGGATCCCCCACCCCTCCGTCCCGACCCG